CAGACACCAAGTCTGAGTGCGTGTGTGTGTGTGTGCTCCCTCTCTCATCTCTAGAGGTGAGCTCTAGGTTGCTCCCCATATTAGTTTGCTTTCCACTTAATGAGGCGGCGGAGCATGAAGGTCCAAGCACTCCTAAATGCCGCGTTCATTAAACCAATGGTGCTTAATGATGACGGCAAAGGCACCCGCGACCCGCCAGCTCCTACTGAGGGCGACCATTAGCGTTAGAGCCAGCCAGCTGGGGGGAGACTGTAGCACGGAGGGAGGGAGCTGTCAACTGTCAACAACACTGTCACAAGGACACGTAGACCGCGGTAAACGGCTGCAGCAGACACAGTGCAAGATACTAAAACATGAGAGAGTGGTGCTGTACAGTATGGGATCAGTTACAGTGATGCACACAGTTTGATAACTCAAACTTTATACTGACAAAGATTATTTAAGATCTCATAAATACAACTGATTTGCAACAATATCCTACATGTGCTCATTATTAAAGTTTTATTAGTTAGTTTTTGTTTCATTAGATAATGTGTTCCAATCTGTCTTGATGGACATTTCAAAAATAATGGCTCCATTAAAAATTAATTAATTGCAGAGCTGCAGATAATGACTATTTTCATTATCGTTTAATCAGTCAATTATTTTCTGGATTGATTCATTAATGCTGTAATGTGTAAAATGTCAGAAAACAGGGAGCGTTCCCAGAAGTCAAGGTAACATCCTTGAATGGTGTTAAAGGTGAGATATACTGGAGTAATGTAAAGCAGAGAAATGCAGCAAAACAGCTGAAGTTTCGCATCTTTGATTATTAACTACACTTTTACAATTATGAAAACAAGAAATTGAGATTAAACTTTTTTATGCCACATTCTGTTTGACAATGATGCTCTTGTTTGGTCTCGTGTTTTAAATCCAGCGCACGCCTTTCCTACAGTGGTACACTCAGTGTTGCCATTTTGGTCACTTCCTCTCTAGATTTAGCGACATTTCAGACCTGTGACTTCATTTTTAAAAAAATAACCCACTGCCCCTGCAGAGACTGCAGGTGCAGCCTATTGAGCCCTCATTACATTACAAGGTGGAGCTCTCAGAGTAGTTGCCAACATTTCATTTACGACGGCATCACCCGAATGTGTGGATTAGTAGGATGAAACGGAGTCCTTCACAGCGTTCGGCCTCCAACTGCAGATTCTGACTGAGGCAAAGTAATAACTAATGCTGTAGAGTGTTAATTGCTGCAGATATCCACCCACACTGACATATATGTCATAGAGAATACCAAAATAAGCATATGGTCAAAGTGCTTGAGCTCAGCTACAGTGTGCCTTCACATGTGCATTTTAATCAGTCTGTCGTGTCTGACATTTGTGTTCTTGAATTTTGTTCATTTTTTCTTATTGACAGTATGCTAGTATTTCAGTGCCTTGACTGTTGCAGTAGGACCTATGGCCAGTGAAACACCTACAGTTGAATTGCATTTAAAGTCCAAGAAACTCACTGTTAAATATAAAAGTTTTAAAGTTTAAAGGGGATCACCACCTAAATTAAGAATCCCACTATGTTATCTCCATGGCAGGAAGTTCAGTTAGCATTTATGAACATGAGATACTCTCTCTCAGTTCAGAAACCAGAGAAGTCAGTCTGTTCATATTCAGTAACGTGATTATGCTCCAAGTGCTGAAACAGATTGGTGGTGTGACCTTTGGTCACTGAAACAGTTTTTCCACAGTGTTTATATTTGATTCCTTTTTTGTTCGGTGTCGTCTTCACGAAAGCCGAAATGTGCAATGGACACACCGTTTCTCTTTAGTACAAGCTGCTCAAGCTGCTGAGTTGGCGCAGTGTTTCAGTTGTCCTTCATGTTGCTTCCAGGTCGTGGACTGGACTGGACGGGGCGGAGTCAAGTGACTACATATGCAGGAGTATGTTTTTAAGGGGACAAGAACACAAACACAGTCAGGAAGGTATTAACAAAATGCCAAAACAAAACAAAAAACAACTGAACCCAAAATCAGGGGTCAGATTACGTTGGTTAGAGGTTCTGAATGTCAGTTTCGATTAATTCTCTATTAATTGCCTAGCCCTAATCTAAAACATTTTACACCATTGATTGTCTATGAAGCAGCTCCAGACTTTATACCCTATGACATCACAAATTTGAGCTTTAGCACTCTGGCTCTTGGTTTTGGGCGAGAGTTGCTAATGTTTACCAATATTTTTTGGACTGTCTTAAACCATGAATGGATTTATAAAGTCGACGTAGCCTTCTTCAATAAAAGCATGATGTTTCCAAAGTCAATAAGTAATCGTGTTAAATAATCTCGATCTCAGTACTGACCAAAATAATCATGATTATGATTTTGCCATTTGCTCTTATTGGTACAACAACTTTTTTTGCTCAGGCTTTTTTTTTATGCACAAATTGAAAATGCGGGTAAAGACAGGTGGGTGGAAACGCACTTACTGAGTGAATGCAGTGTTACTTTTACCTCTGTCACTAACAGGCCAAAAAGTGACAAAGAATGAGGTACAATTTTGTCAATTAACCGTTGCCTTATAGTCTCCATTTTGGAGCATTTCAGAGGCGTATAGCTCAAACACACAGTAATGCATAAAGTATTATTAGTTCATTTCATATAAACATTATCAATAAGTGTGGTAATGGTTAAAATATGTCATAACCTCTGAGTTCATTTGTTGATGTTTACAGGATATATTTGAGTCTAGAAGTGAAGCCAAAAGGATTGAAACTAAGCATATTTATTTTCTGTGAAAGTGTTGGTACTGTAATTCGCCACATTTTCTCAGCTTTTGCCTCTTTACATTCAGGATCCGTCTCCCTCATTGCTGCATTTGCCCTTTTTTACTTTTCCAGACAAAGATTTAACGCTGAAGTGCTCCATCAAAAGTACTTCATGAGGTGTTTAACAAAAGCCTTCTGGAAAAGAGAAGTCCACTCTTCAGTCCAATGCTCTGTTCTGTCTTTTGCTTAAATCTGTGTGGCCACTTCATTGCATAAACGAAGCAGGCATGCCCGCACACACAAACGAGTGCGTGTGCCCATGTGGGCACACACACATACACACAAAGACTGCCTGTGATTTCCATGCAGCCCTCAGAGGACACACTAATGTATCCAAATATATTTACAACAGATGTTGCATTTTATTTTTCATGATAAAAACCCATTTCAGAAAATTTACTTCATAATGGGCAGAGCAAGTTTTCCTTCTCTCTCTCTCTTTCTTTTTTGTCTTCTTTTGAGGTCCCTCGCATGTAAGTGAGAGAAGTGCACCACCTAATGGTTGCAAATGTCTCCTCTGTCAAACTTTCACTCTGCAGTATGCATTTACAGGAGATAATGAGTATTCTCTAACTAAAACTGACATTTGGACCATATGATTCATCCACTAAAAAGCCTGTCTGCCCACTCGATTCACAACATGGCTCTTGACTTGCAGACTGTTGTAGTGCCTGCATGCTCTGTGCACTGAATGCTGTTGATTGACAGCCTGCTCGAGATACAATGCATGGACTCAAAGTGAAAAATGTTCATCATGAATTATCATAGCTCAAGGTGACTTCCTAAGATGTCCGCAACCCAAAGATGTTTAATTTAAAATGAATATAGAAGGTTAAAAAGCAGCAGATCTTTGTGCAAGGATTTGTCATTTTTGCTTGATTACACAGCAAACGATTAATTGATCATCAAAATTTTAATATAAGTAATAAAATGATTTTCTATTGATCAACTGGTTCTTGTTTCAGGTCTATTAAAAAAGCTCATAATATTGATGCGTATGTGTCTCTGTGAAAACAGTCATCGTCTTAATTCTGCTCTGAATACCTCATTAAACAGCTCATTTACTAATTTTACATTTCTGTGGAGTTTAAGAAATTATGAAACATAACCTAATATGATCTGATGATACCAAACACTGAAAAGTGGATTTTCCTTTTTTTTTTTTTATTTCTGAAAATATTCTATTTTCCACAGTAAATTAAGTTTATATTATAACAATTCAAAGTTTTCTTTAAAATTTCTAAACTTTTTGGCAGTTTTTTATTTCCAAACTTGAAATATTTTGTATATCTTCCTAATTAAAGTGAAACGAACATTTGTAAAACAGGACTCTTACTCACTGTCAGCTTTGCTACTTTATAGTTTCTTGGATTTAAGTGGGAGCCTGGTGAGAGGAGAAGATGGAGACCGAGAGTGAAAGGAATGGATGTAACTGTGGAGGACAAATGGGGAAAAAACCTGAGAGGGCTTGAGCAGAAGAAGAGGAGGAGATGAGGAGGATTAGGTGAGGCGGGGGACAAGAGGCGCTCTCCCTCTCAGCCAGCCGGATGGATAGAAAAAGAGTGACGGGAGAGAGAAAGCAAGAGGAGGAGGGGAGGGCGTAGCAAAAGAGCTGGAGAGACTGTGAGTGTGTGTGAGGGCTAAGTGAGGCCTTTATAAATGAAAGCAGATGCCTGGCATTATGAACTTGTCGGGTCGCAGATGGGGATGGCGGTGATGGAGCACTTGACTCCCCGGATGGTTATCACTCACTCTCCTCCTCTTGCCTCTCAACTGCTTTCCCCAGTGCTCGCAGGGTTAGAGGGAGGAAGAGGGAGCAACAGAAAGGAATACCAAGAAAAAGAGAGAATATCCATCGAGTGTGAGAAATAAGGGGACAAGAAGGTGGACTTTTCAGCGAGTGATTAGTGGCCCTATTTAAATAAAGACCATGAATACAGTATAAAGAGAAAAGCTTCAAGTCTTTTTCTTCCTTCTTCCTTTTCCTTCTTTGATTGATCTCAGCGTCGGTGTGCAGTGATTGATTGGATTGCCTGCGGAACATCATCCCGCTAACTAGTCGCTCCGAGAAGGGTGTTTGTCACTGCCATTGATCTTCTTGTAAATGAAATGTTCCATTTCCAGTGCATTTTATTGTTAAATGCAGTTCATTAGCTACTCTGAGATTTATGGCCGTGTCTCCTCTCTTGGGCAGGAAGAAGAGGAGAGAGAGGCTGCAAAGAGACAAGAGCGGGGGAGTATAAGGGGAGCAGGGCAGAGACGAGTGTTGATGGTATAGAGCTGCTGCAGACTTGATAAATTCGGCCCAAGTTTGCCAAGAGATGAGAGATGATGATAGTGAGGAGGAACTGACACACTGAGCTTCCTGATATACTGTAGCTACACTTCTTGTGATCACTGCTGGAACTTTGGCACCAACCTTTATAAATACTCTCAGTTATAACATATTCAATTTAGTACTTAGAGAAATCCTGGGAATATATACAGTACATTTATATATTTATATTTTATTAAAAGATAAATATTAACAAAAAAAAGATAAATATTAACAAAGGCTATAACATAACAACTTTTCTTTTCTTGGTTAATGGTAGGGAACAGCAGAATGACTAGGGTTAGCATTAACAATGGGGAAGGTGATTGGCAAGTCACAGAAACAACTCAGCAGTGTATTTGATAGTGCTTTACACAAAGGCCAAACATAGTTGCCGATGCCTCACATCCATTACACTCAGGGTTTGAGTTTCTCCTGTCTGGGTGTCGATTTTGGCACCCAAGAATCAGTCGGAACATATATAAGAGGCCCTTTATTCCCTGCAATTTTTTAAAGATGTGCACTCTTTTATTATTCATATAAGATATTGCTCCTACCTGCCTATTTGCAGTATTGTATCATATATATGTTGTTAAATTGTGCGTTTTTAATGGTGTATTGTGTCTGTATGTACCTTTGATTGTTGAGAGAAGCTGAAGACAAATTTCCGCTGAGGTGGACAATAAAGTTATCTACCTGCCTACCTACCTACCCACATACCGACATACCTACCGACCTATCTATCTTGCTATCTAGCTGTCTATGAGAGAGCGAGAAAGTGCAGCTGGTACCGGTGTATAGATACTGCGGAAAATGAGTATTCAAAACTGTTTCAAATATTCAGAATTTTTTTTGTCTGTGTACCCTCTCTTGATTGGGAGGTTGTTGTGGGTCCTTGAATGCATCACAGGCAGAACTCTTCTCTCTTCGGAGTCTTTATTTTTTTCTTTGGCAGCAGTTAATTTAGTTTGAGTCCTGGAGTGGAGAATTGTTCAGTCAATCAGTGTGTGGTTGGATCAATTGAAGCAAATAAAGTGTTCTGTTTCTATAAGAATTAATGAGCAGGTAATTTTTACTTTAACTGCGCCTGGCGTTCTGCTGCTCCGTCTAGGCCCAGAGTACGCTCTGCAGGCCAGAGTGTGGTGCTCTGAATAACAGAACAAGGACTGCAACTGACAATTACTTTCATTGTTGATCGATCTCTCAATTATTTTTTCGATTAGTTGATTAATTTTTTGGTCAGAAAATGGTGAAATGGAGTTGATCAGTGTTTCCCAAAACCCAAAATGATGTCCTCAATTGTCCACAAATCATAGAAATTAAGCTCACTATCATGGAGGAGAAAAAAAAACAAGAAAATATTCACATTTAAGAAGCTGCAATCAGAGAATAACTTTTTTCTTTTCTTTTCAAATTAGTCAAACCAATTAATCGATTATCAAAGTAGTTGCCGAATAATTTAATAAGTGACAACTAGTCGATTTTTTGTTGCAGCTCTAAACTGAACGGTGTTTATATTCCAACAGTGCTCCGAATGAGCGGAGACTCAATATGTGGTCACTGGTCACAAATCCTGCTGTCATAGTGGACTGCTACAAATTCAGGAAAGTGCGGGAAACCCTGGACTACCATTGAAATGTCAAATCAAACCACCATGACAGTCTAAACACATTTCTGAGGGTCTCATCTAAGTTAAAAATACATTTTGTTTTCACAAAAGTGCTGCCTGTGATCTGAGGAGTGCTTTCAGTATAACAAGTGTGTGCTTATGTACAGTTACTGTAATGTGCAATAAAGAGGCTGCAAATGTAGGAGGTGTTACATCTTGAAATATAGAGGACATTTATTAGTGTTATGGAGCTCAATCAAATCTATGTAGGAGAAATCTGTTTTGTCCTGGAGGCTGTTGTTGGAAGCTCAGTGCAGCCCTTTTATACTTCAATAGTCCCAAAATATGTGATCAGTAGCCTGCTGGTTCAGATCGACTGACCAGCGGCGAAAATCTGAGCAGGGAAAGTAAATGAGCAACTCTCGGCTCTCCCTCAGCAATTATCGCACACGTGCTGTTGATCAAGACACTTGCACGAAGGCTCAGGGCTCCAATTACTTCAGCAGAGCTGCTGAGTGGCCAGCAGCAGATGACTGTGGTTGTACTCCCAGGTGTGAGGCAGGGCATCTCTGAAAAAGAGCAAGCATACTTAGCTAATCTTTTCTGGTCAGGTTGAACTTGCTAAAGGTAAGATTTGTATAAAGATAATCCACCTGCCCTTACCTGTGTAAGTCACATTATTTGGCTCAAGAAGACAGTACAAGTGACTGTCACTTTTATTAACTTAAAGTAATTGTCTCTTCAAAAGTTAAGAACAAAACATGACTGAGCCTTTCCACGTTTTCCATCACTGCAAAGTAAAACCTGAATTTAGGACAAAGAAGTTTGACAATGTTAAATTGTAAAAATGCTCAAAAAACAAAGCACTTAGACCATTTGCCATTGGCCACTGGGCTACATTGTAAGTGTGTAAGTATACATTGATCTGGATCCAGATATTGATTCAATGATCAACAATCTAGCATTATTGATACAAAGTGAAAACATTGATACATATTGTCATTTTTAAGTTGCACCTTTATTTTGAAATTCCCATGGCACGTCACCATTTTTGTCCAAGCTCACCTTTTTCCTGAACATTCAAACAATTCTAGCCACCTTAGTGTCCGTCAGATAATAGAAAGCAGCTAAGAAAAAGATAAAGACGAAATTTACAAGAAGTTTCCTAGTCGACCAATAGTCATCATTTAGGGCCATTAGTCGACTAGTCGCCTGCATGTTTATGATATTAATTTAATTATTAAATGATATAATTTGGTGGTTTGAGTTGAAGGTGTGAGAAAGAATAGTATCAGTAACATTGTTAACACTGTGCTACATTACAGAGAAATACAAAACCGTACTAATGACCCTTCATTAATAGAGGCCTATATTTTATCTACAAGTGCACGTCACACACTGAGCGAGCCGCCTGTTAATGACGCTGTGGGCTAATGGGCATGTAGCTACTTCCATGTTTCAGATGATATGTCATGTTTGTAGTCGACCAATGAAGATGAGTTTACATATCACCTTGGGTTCATCCTTCACCTTCTCAAAATGATCCCACACTTTGGATTTCCTGCCTGACATGTTATTAACTAGCCTGTGGAATAACCGCAGGTACCTGGGCACTACTCTTGTGCCTTTTTTGTGCCAGCTTTCAGGAGCGTGGCGGCAGGTTGTATCTGAGGTTGCTAAGCAGCATCGTATAGCCTATTTACCTGAAATCCTGAGTGCAGAGCTGATCTCCTTCCAGGAGCTGTTTATCAGTGTGTAGGCCTATCGTCCGTGGGACAGATGTAAAGCTCTGGGTAGCCCTGCACTAACATGATCAACTTTTCCATATTTATCAGACTGAATATTTACAGAAGAAGGGAAAGATATCTGTCGGCTGTGATTGGTTTGTAATGTGATTCCTGTCTGACTGCTGAGTGTGGCCACTTCCTGTGTCTGTCCTTTCAAATTAAATTCCCACATGGTCCAGTCACATAGGTTTTGATTTGTTTTGACAAGGTGCAGCTTCTTAGAGAGTTTCACATTTGTTTTTTCATTTGTTTTGTTTTTGTGACTAAGTGACGAATGAAATGTAGCCGACTAATGGCCTTTCTGGTCGATTAATATTTGATCAACTATTAGGGGGCAGCCTTAAAATTTACTGATATCATCTAATATAATCACAGGCCCATGAATTGAATTGAATCAAACCCGTATTTTGGCAGAATTGAAGTGATATCAGCAAATACTGATCATTGCACTGTGCTGCTGCTGGATGTGCCCTTTAACCGCCTTAGCCTCAAAATGTCAAACTGTGTTTCACCAACACATATATATTGCTACAACATTTTAAAAAATAGTTTGATAGTTTTGGAAATATGTTTATCTTTGCGAATTGTGTCAGCGGTGGACAGAACCACACCAGCTGTCTGTTGTGTTTGTGCTAAGCCAAGGGAAGCATGTTTCAGCCTTGAGCGTGGCAAACTAAAGAAAGTATTTGGATGATGATATTACTCATTGCCTCTCAAAATTCCTCAACCTTTTCAACAACGAGTTAAACTAGGTGTTAGAGAATGAAGTGTGATTCTGCAGCTCAAGGCCTGTAACTCGCATCAGAGTATTACAGGTGAAGGCGAGAATTGTGAAAGATCCACTGAAAAGCCTGCTTTGAAAGGATTCCAGCAAATGCCAGTTGAACCTTGAGAAACTATGACGAGTGAAACAACAGTTTTGTCTGGCGTTGACTTTCCTCCATTGCTCAGTTGAAATGGTCATTTTCTCTGCCTTACTTATCTTTTATCGTCTCTGACAGAACAAGAGAAAGGTTTTATTCGTGCTCCGCTCTTGATGTAGACTTTGCGGTTTGACTCGGCCTTGCCTCTGGTTAATCACTGCTTGTTAGAGTTTCTGGCACATTGAAGAGCCAGACCACACCACTGTTTGCCTGTCAAACAGTCTGCAAGAGCAAGGCAATTACAAAAGCAAACTTTGCTTGCACTCCTTGGTCTTAATGAAAAGGAAGCTAGTGTTTGCAGACATGTGTGTTTGGCCATACTCATACACTTGTGCACAAGCTGCTGACTACTATGGGTGGAGCCTTCTTGACATTAAAATGAGATCCAGTTTCCGATAGGTTTCTGTAGAATCTCAAATCTAATATCGCATCATCACGCTCATTTCTGAACCTACTAGAATCAGACATACATTTGACATTTGTAATTAACTCACTGCTAACATCTGACTTTCACTAACACAGAGGTGGAACCTCTTATCTGTAAATTGCTATGCAGGAAATGCGCTCTTAGTAGTGGCCATATTTAAGGGCTTTTGATAATAGTGGCTGTAAATAATCCATCATGATTTAAAACATCAGCAAGTGAAGCAGGGACTGAAAAACATGGCCATTTCAAATGAATTCATTAGACTTGATGTCATCTTGTTGCTTTGTAGTGGTATTTATTCTTTTAACCATCGCTGTCCTTCTGTAAATACAACAGATTAGTAGCTACAGTTGTTATAGGGGTTTTTTTGGGGAGTTTTTCCTTATCTGCTGTGAGGGTCATAAGGACAGAGGGATGTCGTATGCTGCAAAGCCCTGTGAGGCAAATTGTGATTTGTGATATTGGGCTTTATAAATAAAATTGATTGATTGATTATAAGAAACTAGAGTTTAGCAATGATAGCAGCAGGCTGGTGCATGTCAACAGTATCAGCAAATGTTTAGGTTGTTGCCATTTTTTCTGTAAAACCCTTTTGCGTGATTCTTGTTTTTAAAACGTAGTGCCCCTGTTGTAGATTTTCATAGTCACAGAAAAACTTACCAGACATTTGCTCCTGATTTATTGACTCCATAAGCCTCCAGTATGACTTCTAAGTGTATTAAAAATTCACAACAATAACCACATCTGATAAAAATGCCACAGAGCCACTACTTTCAGCAGTGTCACCTTTTCTTTATACATTAATCGACTGGAAACAAAGGGTTGTTTTTGTCTTTTTAAGAGGCGGTATTAGGCACAGTGGAGCAGTTTCTCACTGCAAGCTGACACCACTAAGGTTGGCCTGGCATTTCCACAAGATATGATGCTTTTCATGCGTTGTTGAGAAAACCAGGCGGAGCAATAGATCAACCAAAATGGCAAAAATATCTCGGTAATGGTGAGAGGAGACAGTGTCTGAGAATAGTAACTTCTGTAAAGGGAAGGGACAACATAAAGCCAAGTAAACCCCATAAAAACAATTTACATACTGTATATGTGATACATTTATATTGCAGATGCATTTATAGAGTATGTATGACTGTCTCTTGGGTAGAAACGCAGAACAATACTTCAAAGAAAGTCAGTGAAGCTGCAGGGGAAACTGATTTGGACAGCGCAGTGAAACCCAGGGGAAGCTATGGAATATATGCTTACATTTCCTGAAACATCA